GTGTTGTTTTCCAAGATTTGCCTGGGATGGGGGTTGGGTGTAAAGGTCCATGTCTAGTGTTGGTGAACTTGGTGAGAAGTGGTTCATTGGTTATGTAGTGGTGTGTGTGTATGTGTGTGTGTCTCACTGTGTCTGCTTGGTTTCTTCCTTCATTGCTTCCCAAGACCCAAAGACAAGGAGAGTCACACAGGAAAGGAGGATGAGGAGGTTAAAGAGGAGGACGAAGATATTAGTGAGAGGGAGAGGTTTTTGTATGGATTTCGAAGTGAAAATAAAATGTAAGTAAAAGACCAATCTAATCTAAGAAGCCATGGTACCTGTGTAGAATTTGTATTTGCCTTGTAGACGACCAAGTATTGCTCTTACATCAAATGTCATTCCTGTGTAAGCAGCCCAGCCCACTGTAGAACAGTCAACTTCAGGAGTGAGACATTTTAGTTTTGAAAATTGTTTTAACGTACGTGTTTTTCATCCTGCTGTATTTTAAGTACAGTATTTCTTTCATGAGATACAATAGATTATACAGTATAAGGTAAATTATCTCACAAGTTCCAACACCAGTCATCTTTATTAAATTACTTAATATCATTAAAAACTTGTGCTTTTCTGTAGCTATCATACAGTACTGTACAGCAGACTTCAGATTTTATGCTGGGATGCGTTTTTTGAATTTCCGTGTCAAACTGAACCATATAAGTTTGTTAGAGGTCCACTGAAAATCTGGAATGTATGTTATCAGGGAGTGGCATTGTAATGCAGCAGCAGGTGAGTCTCTCCACAGTAGCACTGTGGGCACTGAGGGCTTAAATAATGTTCAAAACTTGACCACTGACCCCCAGATACCTCTGGTGGCTATGTAACACCAGAGGTGTTATTTAGCCCAATTCAGGAGACCTTATATATCTTGAATTGCTCCATACAGTTTCACACATGTTTAAACATCCAGCTATGTTTGCTTTTTTCCCATACATCTACTAAGACACCTATACACAAAGGTGACTACAAAATCAATTGAAGTGGCAGGCTGAGCTCAGATGCACATTCACCCAGAACCCACGGTGAAACTCAATCTGGCCACACTGCCTTGTTTCTACTGAGCTTCTTGAGCTTTGTTTCAATTTCATCTTGAGACAACTCTATTTACCCTATGTTATTCTCTGAAATTCGTATTGTGTCTGGTACTCGGAAGACTTCATTTTGCACAATCATACTTTAGAACTGTTTGTTTAGTGTTTTACACATTTCCTTTTAATTCTCTGTGAGTCTGTTCCCTATTTCCTGTCTGACTTTTATCCATTACCAGCAGTTTGCTTTTAATTAATTTATAGAATAAGCCGTTTTACACTTGCCTGCAATCCCCTTCTCAAAGTTTCTTTCTGCCTAACTTCTCCCTGCCTCGTAGTTATTTTTTGGTTGTTTGTATGTCTAAAGGTTTGGTCTCTTCTTATACCAATTCCATTTTTTGTCTTTTGTTCTCCGGCCATTCACAATTTATGTTGAACTAATCCTGCTTTCTAGTTCTGCATCTGTTTTGGTATAAATTTTCTTGTACCTTCATTATATATTTCACCAAATTTGGCATGCATCTTATGTATGTCTTTGCCTGACAACAAATCTTTCCAGTCAAATTCATTGAAGAACTTGCCAAATTTTCTATATTTTCCTCTCCTGAAATCAACTTTTTCATTTGTTTCATTTTCCCCATTCGACAAGATGATTACAAAATGATGTGCTTCAAATTGACACGGTGTTGGAGAACGCACCCCATAGTAAAACTGGGAGTCAAGTTTACAGCTGCAGTACCTCTTAAAGTTTTGTATAATATCTAAAGCAGTTTTGAAATATAGTTCTACATATTCCACTTGCTTTATATTTTAGTTATCTATATAAGAGCAAGATGACTCTAGGTTATTGTTGATGTCTTTGAAAAACATCTTAGTTCCCATCTGTAGCAGGCAATTTAATCCTACAGTATTGGTTAGTGTTGTAGATACGCGAGAGCATCCATGTCATAATGGTAAGTTTATTCCACTGTCTGGAAAAAAAAGAGTAAGGACAGACAAGTAATATCAAGTTACCTCAAGTACATCATATTCCGTTTTTCTGACCTACGGTGCAGACCCATTCTGACTTGGTGAATCTGTGACCTTGAGCTTAATCCCACATATTATATCCCCACACATTCCTTACCACTGTGTGCCACACAACCAGGGCATGGGGCTCCCTAGCTCAGGGTTTGAATACTGTATTACCATACTTGTACTGTATGTGTTTTGATACCTGGTCCCCCCTGGAGATAAACGCTGCTAGAGTAGGATTGTCCCATACTTAATTTAGTTAACGACTGTCTTTTGTTTAAACATTTTTCCCAGAGGAGATGATCGATCTCAAAGTTTCCTACAGACTAGTATATGATGATGAATTTGCCTACCATATTTGATGATTGGCCCTTTTCCCCCTTTTTTTGCATGGCTGTATTAATTTCCCATTTTACATTAATTAACAGGCAAAGAAGCTAACGTTAGTACCGAGAATATTTTGGATTTGTGCAATGGAATCGAACTTGTTCCAAGACACGAGTTCAGCTCCATCACACTGCTACAAAAGATTTTCTCATTGATATATGAAATCACACTACTGTATTGTGATTTCTATGTACATGTAACATTGTTTGCAATACATGCTTGGCCACGTATGGTTGTTTGTATGAGTTTAAGAGCTTTCACTGAAAGAAGTGTCCAGGTAAACAAAATGTAATGGAAGAGAGGTGGTGTAATTTCTCTCTTGGTGGCCAGTGGTGGTGGTGTAGTCTTCCTCTCTTGGTGGCCAGTGGTGGTGGTGTAGTCTTACCCTTGGTGGCCAGTGGTGGTGTAGTCTGACCCTTGGTGGCCAGTGGTGGTGGTGGTGTTGTCTGACCCTTGGTGGCCAGTGGTGGTGGTGGTGTAGTCTGACCCTTGGTGGCCAGTGGTGGTGGTGGTGTAGTCTGACCCTTGGTGGCCAGTGGTGGTGGTGGTGTAGTCTGACCCTTGGTGGCCAGTGGTGGTGGTGTGGTCTGACCCTTGGTGGCCAGTGGTGGTGGTATAGTCTGACCCTTGGTGTCCAGTGGTGGTTTCCACTTTTTTCTCAGCACTATGAAGTGGTAACTTCGTAACATGTGTGATAACCAAACCAGGTGTGAAGTCCTTTAGCACAGTGGTCTCCATTCTTGGCTCACAGTCAAGAGACTGAGGGACAATCCCACAGCAGAACAGCGATGGTTTGCACTTTTTCTTTTCACTTGATATGACTGTTCATCTAGCAGTAAAATAAGTCCCTGGGAAGCAAGTGTTGTGGATTGCATCCTGGGGATGGTTAGTAGAGTAGTTGACCTAGGGGGAGCTGCTATGTGGCTCCTTTGTGAGGTCAACCCATCGGGAAGAGATTCTTGGTGAGGTCAACCCAGCTAGAAAAGCTTCTTGGTGAGGTCAACCCACTGAGAAAAGCTTCTTGGTGAGGTCAACCCACTGAGAAAAGCTTCTTGGTGAGGTCAACCCATTGAGAAAATATTCTTGGCGAGATCAACCCACTGAGAAAATATTCTTAGCGAGGTCAACCCATTATGAAAATGAGCTTTTCTTAGCAGCTTCAAAAAGATGAAGAGGTACAGCCCGAAGTGGGGAATTGCGGGTGGAAATCTGTCATTATTTGGTTCTTTGAGTACTGTAAATATTTTCAAGTCTGAGCTTTTTTCATTGTTTTGTCCCATCTTCCTTCTATGTAAGTACAGCACTGTATTCCATACATTGACTCTGTTTTCTTCTTCTTCCTACTATGGGAGTATTGCATATATTGATTCTGCTTTCTTCTTGGTAAAGAAGTATTTTATACATTGATACTGCTTTCTTCATACTATGGGAATATTGCATACATTCATTTTGCTTTCTTTTGCATATGATAGGAGTATTGCATACATTGATATTGCTTTTGCCATGAATGTGTCTTTGTTGTTTCTGAATTTTGCCATACAGTAGTGTACTGTACTTGTAATTGTTTATTTTGCATTTTACAGTACTATTATTTCATGTTGCATGATTTCCTGGCTGCCTAACAGCACAAGTTGAAGAGGACATGTAGTGGATAGTTGTCCTGAAAACATAATAAAAAAAAATTCATTCACTTTTTCATTATTGGTGATTTAAACTCGGTTTCCACCAGTTACATTAGTGGTACTCCACGGAAGGTATAAATTCTCAGTTGGGTACCAGGTAGGTACTCCTGAGATACTTGCTGAGCAAACCACCCACCAGAGGATGAAGAAATGACGACATTTCGGTTCGTCCTGGACCATTATCACAATTAACTTGTCACAGTCCATCCTGGACAGGTATCGTCGTCATGTCTTCATCTTCTGGTGTGTGGTTTGGTCATCATATCTTTATCCCCGTTATTGTGACTCATCATCTGCCTCCGAGATGCTTGCTTATTGTCAGTAACCATTGTCTGGTTGGTAGAACAATGGTCTCATATTTTGAGGCCTGTGTTCAAATCTCTGATGATGAAAGTGAATGAAAAGTTATTACCCATTCTAATGTGGATTGCATCTTATAAACAGATTTGTTAAAAGTATTTAAATATTAATTTGGAGCAGTGATGTAGTGGGCTCAATCCTTGTAATTTTCATTTTTAGCATTTGTAGATTGATTAGCTTGTTTTAATATATACCGATACAATTACTGTACCTAAAATTTTCAAAGTAGTTAATAGAATGTAAATTTAAAATAAATGTTTCATAGGATGTATGTTATTTTGTATACAGTATGCTGTATCATAATATATTGTTCGAGTTGGCGCCTTATTATAAAAAATCTTTGTGATGTCAGGTTGCAGTATAATTGAAAATCTATATGCTAAACTCTACAAAAGTTTATGTTGGTCTAATTATTAACGTTTCTGGCTCTTCATTTCTCTCTCTCCTAAATGAACTAACTTGCACCTCCTACTAACTGCATGTTGGTTGCCAGGGGAATGACCATCACCTCTGGGAGTGTGAGCCTGGAGAAGAACGACAGCAACTTGATTGGCATTAGTATTGGGGGCGGTGCCAAGTACTGCCCCTGCCTCTACGTGGTACAGGTACGGAGAACACCATGTGTTTGAGATGAAAGTGCAGAACCGTGCATGTAGAGGAGTAAATACCTGTCATACATCATATAGAGGAATTGGTACATTGTGAGTAGAGAACAAATACTAGCATAGGTAAAGGGCCGTGTGTGGGGTCAGTAGAGGGCCGTGTGTGGGGTCAGTAGACGGCAGTGTGTGGGGTCAGTAGAGGGCCGTGTGTGGGGTCAGTAGAGGGCAGTGTGTGGGGTCAGTAGAGGGCAGTGTGTGGGGTCAGTAGAGGGCAGTGTGTGGGGTCAGTAGAGGGCAGTGTGTGGGGTCAGTAGAGGGCCGTGTGTGGGGTCAGTAGAGGGCAGTGTGTGGGGTCAGTAGAGGGCAGTGTGTGGGGTCAGTAGCGGGCAGTGTGTGGGGTCAGTAGAGGGCCGTGTGTGGGGTCAGTAGAGGGCAGTGTGTGGGGTCAGTAGAGGGCCGTGTGTGGGGTCAGTAGAGGGCAGTGTGTGGGGTCAGTAGAGGGCAGTGTGTGGGGTCAGTAGAGGGCAGTGTGTGGGGTCAGTAGAGGGCCGTGTGTGGGGTCAGTAGAGGGCCGTGTGTGGGGTCAGTAGAGGGCAGTGTGTGGGGTCAGTAGAGGGCAGTGTGTGGGGTCAGTAGAGGGCCGTGTGTGGGGTCAGTAGAGGGCCGTGTGTGGGGTCAGTAGAGGGCCGTGTGTGGGGTCAGTAGAGGGCAGTGTGTGGGGTCAGTAGAGGGCAGTGTGTGGGGTCAGTAGAGGGCCGTGTGTGGGGTCAGTAGAGGGCAGTGTGTGGGGTCAGTAGAGGGCCGTGTGTGGGGTCAGTAGAGGGCACTGTGTGGGGTCAGTAGAGGGCAGTGTGTGGGGTCAGTAGAGGGCAGTGTGTGGGGTCAGTAGAGGGCAGTGTGTGGGGTCAGTAGAGGGCAGTGTGTGGTATCAGTATCTGCAAGAGGTTCAATGGAAGGAAAGTCAGCAAGTAAGATGGTGGAATACATAACACAGAAATGTAAATAATCAATAGAACAGTTTATACCTCTCAGGAGAGAAGTGGATGTAAGAATACCAGCAAATTCATGGAAAAGAAGTAAAAAAAACAAGGAAAATATATAGGAACATGGGTAGATAGGGAGGCAGATAGGGAGACACTAAAAAAGGCCTGGAATACACAAGAATTAGGAGGGTAGCAGAACAACAGTTTGAGAATGACATTGATGTAAAAACAGAGAGCCAACCTAAGCTGTTGCACAATCGTATACAGATGAAGACATCGATACGCGTCCCTGTGATTAGACTGCGGGGACAGGGAGGAACACTCTTAGAGAATGACAAAGAAGTGTGTGAAAATCCAACAAGATGTTCCAGGAGGTCTTCAAAGCCCAACCTGATTTATTTACCTGACACTAGGGATCTCAATGAGGACAGGAAGCTGGTAGCTTGTCGAAGGTCCCCCCTCCCCCGCCACATTTGCCTTGATGATCCTCTCCAGGTGGATATTAAAACCTAACAGAGGTTTGGCATTTGTGACTATGGCAGGTAGGCAGCTCCATGTGTTTATAACCCTGTGGGTGAAAAAGCATCTCCTGTTTTTAGTCCTACATTGTGGCTTATTGAGCTTGAAACTTGCTCATTGCTTGTGTTACATCTGCAATGAGAAGGTTTGAAGAAATCGTCAGGATCAGCATCCTCCAAATTGTTCAGTTTTAAAAGTTTCAATGAAACCACCCTGTTATGTCTGGTTTGCTGTATTGTTAGGCCCATGGCCCTAAACCATTCCTGATATGAGAGATGACTTAGCTATGGAAGGACTTTTGTTGCCTGGTGTTGCACTTTTTCCAGAGCAGCTATGTCCTCCTTAAAGTGAGGTCTCCATGAACAAATCCACAAGGGCCGTGATGAGGATTCGAACCTGCGTCCGAGAGCATCCCAGACACTGCCTTAATCGACTGAGCTACGGCAGTGTCTGGGATGCTCTCGGATGCAGGTTCGAATACTCGTCACAGCCCTTGTGGATTTGTTCATTTGATGCATCACGCAATTGTGATTTGTGTGTGTAATGAGGTCTCCATGCCTGGATACAGTAATCCAAATGATTTATATACCAGAGATTTATACAGTTGAATTACTACCCTTTAACCTGATTTGAGTTTAACCTGATTGGTGTCCAAATAAGGGTGATAACAAATGACCAGAAACAACACTAGGTAGAATTGAAGTTAATGTTGAAGAGGTAAAAAAAATTCTAGAGGAAATAGTAGGATTAGAACAAAAACAGTAGGATCAGACCAGATATCACCATGGTTACTGAAAGAAGCTGCAGGGAGATTTAGAGTTGGAAGTTTGCTGTGTCCTTTATATTGTTTACTCTCATGAGACTCCTAGTGTCATGTATGGGTGGTCAGCTTGTGAAATCCATTCAAGGAAAAGATTGTTGAAGCCAATTCCATCCACAACTTTAAGAAAAAACATTTGAAAGCGGTAATTAGCATGCCAGGTATAAATGACTTGGAGGCGGGGAATAAAAAGCTAGATCTCACTGCTCTATAGTCGCTGATAAGTAAGTACTTGGACTGCCAGGAATCAAATGGGGTCATCACTGTACTATACTATAACCACCCCAAGTGGTTGGACTTGGCAAGGTTGAATGTGATGATATTGACCAATATACTTATTCATAAATGTTGTATATGGTCTTGCATAATTTTCCCATGATCATCAGCTGTGATTGACTAAAAATGAACATCTTTAGCCAATATTAATCCTTAAACTGCTCAGCTACTTAAAGGCACATGACATGCACCTTTAATGGTGTGCATGACAAAAAATCATTCACAGCAAATTAAGCAGTTTTAAGATTAATGTAAAAATTACAGAATCTTGAATTCTGACAAACTAATACTGGGCTGTGAGCAGCTGCATCAAACAACCTGGTTGACCAGATCACCGACCAGGAGGCCTGATCAGAGGCTGGGCTGCAGGGATGTTGATCCTCAGGATCATCAACAGGTATATGACAGATATATCCCAACTAACAAAATCAACTTTAGTACCCAAAATATTTTATCATCTGTAACTTGTTTTTCTTAGGTGTTTGACAACACTGCAGCATCGCGAGAAGGCACCCTTCAGAGCGGAGATGAGATCACAGGCGTTAATGGGATCAATGTCAAGGGCAAGTCAAAGCAGGAGGTGGCTCACCTCATCCAGAGGTCTACGGTTAGTCCTGGCTAGATTTTGTCTGTTTTACTGTAAGTGGGAGTGTTGGACAGTGTGGTCCTCTGTTTTACTGTGAGTGGGAGTGTTGGACAGTGTGGTCCTCTGTTTACTGTGAGTGGGCATGTTGGACAGTGTGGTCCTCTGTTTACTGTGAGTGGGCATGTTGGACAGTGTGGTCCTCTGTTTACTGTGAGTGGGCATGTTGGACAGTGTGGTCCTCTGTTTACTGTGAGTGGGCATGTTGGACAGTGTGGTCCTCTGTTTACTGTGAGTGGGCATGTTGGACAGTGTGGTCCTCTGTTTACTGTGAGTGGGCATGTTGGACAGTGTGGTCCTCTGTTTACTGTGAGTGGGAGTATTGGACAGTGTGGTCCTCTGTTTACTGTGAGTGGGCATGTTGGACAGTGTGGTCCTCTGTTTACTGTGAGTGGGAGTGTTGGACAGTGTAGTCCTCTGTTTACTGTGAGTGGGCATGTTGGACAGTGTGGTCCTCTGTTTACTGTGAGTGGGAGTATTGGACAGTGTGGTCCTCTGTTTACTGTGAGTGGGCATGTTGGACAGTGTGGTCCTCTGTTTACTGTGAGTGGGCATGTTGGACAGTGTGGTCCTCTGTTTACTGTGAGTGGGCATGTTGGACAGTGTGGTCCTCTGTTTACTGTGAGTGGGCATGTTGGACAGTGTGGTCCTCTGTTTACTGTGAGTGGGCATGTTGGTCAGTGTGGTCCTCTGTTTACTGTGAGTGGGCATGTTGGTCAGTGTGGTCCTCTGTTTACTGTGAGTGGGAGTATTGGACAGTGTGGTCCTCTGTTTACTGTGAGTGGGCATGTTGGACAGTGTGGTCCTCTGTTTACTGTGAGTGGGCATGTTGGTCAGTGTGGTCCTCTGTTTACTGTGAGTGGGCATGTTGGTCAGTGTGGTCCTCTGTTTACTGTGAGTGGGAGTATTGGACAGTGTGGTCCTCTGTTTACTGTGAGTGGGAGCATTGGAAAGTGTGGTTTGTATATGAACAATGCCATTAACCCTTCCACAGTGTGACACAATGAGGGATGTTCTTGGCAAATGTCCATAAGCTGCACAGCACAGTCAGGGTTGTCTTTTAAGTACAGTGTAAGATTTAAAACTCCTATGGGTACATGGGGCTCACATCTGCTTTTGCAGGCCTCCAGTAAACAGGCAGCATGTTGGGAAAAAATTGTGGGCACTCTGTTCTGGGTGTGAGGGGTCTCAGTACTGCATGAGTGACCATGAGTAGCATATATCGTAGCAGCTCACAGCACATCCATGCAGCTTGGAGTCCACAGCACCTCTTGATAATAATGTAATAAATAACTAAGTGAAGTTATTTAATGATGACAGTATCATATGAATCATGTCTCGTGAATGCTGACATCACGAGCTTTCTGAGTTCCACCACTGCCAGAGTAAGTGACATAAAATTTTTATTATTTCTTTTTCCATGATCAGGGCAAAAAGATTAGAAAGAAAAATCAAATTCTGGATTTTTTTTCTTGTGCACCTAGGGGCTGTTAGCTATAATATAAGGGTAGAAGCTTATTTCTACTCGTATAAAGGTCCGAGTATCGACACCCATCGGCACTAAACACAAATTTTACAGTCTCCGTGGTGTAGTGGTAAGACACTCGCCTGGCGTTCCGCGAGCGCTATGTCATGGGTTCGTATCCTGGCCGGGGAGGATTTACTGGGCGCAATTCCTTAACTGTATCCTCTGTTTAACGCAACAGTAAAATGTGTACTTGGATGAAAAAACGATTCTTCGCGGCGGGGATCGTATTCCAGGGACCTGCCCGAAACGCTACGCGTACTAGTGGCTGTACATGAATGTAACAACTCTTGTATATATCTCAAAAAAAAAAAAAAAAAAAAAAAAAATGGAAATATGATCTTTATAAAAAATAGCAAGTCCTCCTTGGTGATACTGTAATACTCACACTAGTATACTAGGTCATTATAACATCTCTTGACAGGAATATTCATCCTTCTCCCAGGTAGGGGCTAATCAATGTTGAGATAAACGAAACAAGGAAAATAGTTTCTAATTTTACAGTGGGTTTATTTTCAATGCCTTAAAATTAGACATACAAATATATATATATTGAACATTTATTTAATATGGTGACCAAACCACATACAGTATCAGAAGATGGAGAAATGACGTTTCGGTCTGTCCTGGACCATTATCAAGTTGTGTGTGAGGACGATGGTCAAGAATGGACCGAAACGTTGTTTCTCCATCTTTTGAGGTGTGGTTTGTCATCATATCTTCATCCATGTTATTGTGACTCATCGTCTGCATATGGCTTTAATAATTTTGACTGAGAACTTTGATAATGATTACTAGTCCCACAAAACTTGGACTCAATTAGCACACAGGTATATTCTAATACTGTACTCACAATACTGAAATTTAATAGACTTGATTCCAATTAAGAACACTTCTCTAGTCCACTGTTATCTCTGTATTATGCTTGCAATTATCGATTGTGGGCGGACCAATATTAACAGGTCATGTAATACAGAATGACACTACACACAAGTTTACCATAGTACAGTGACACCTCGGCTTACTAATGCCCCTATTTACAAACTTAGGGTTACGAGCCCAATTTCTTCGTAAAATTTAAATCTGGTTACGAACTTTGCCTCGGGTAATGTAGTTTGTTGATACGCTTATGGGTGACCAAGTGCATGGTTCTTGGTGGCATGGTCACCCGCTCTTCAGTTTACCAGTGCCTCCTGCTTAGTGATGACCGTGCTTGAATTCTTTGTAAAGAATTTCATTGTTTTTCAGCTTTTTGGGGTTTTGAACATGAAAGTAATTATTATATATCATACCATGGGTCCCAAGAAAGTCAGTGGTAAGGTTCAACCTAAGAAAACACATGTGAGGATGACCATAGAGCAAAAACAAGAAATCATTTGTAAACATGAAAATGGTACTCAGATTGTTGAACTAGCTAGGCAGTACAACAAATCTATGTCAACGATATGTACTGTAATTGCTAAGAAAAAGAACATTATGAGTGCTAAAGTGGCAAAAGGCGTATCAATAATCACAAAACAAAGAACACAAACACTTGAGGGTGTTGAGAATTTGTTATTAATTTGAATACACAAGGAGTTAGCGGATGATAGCATTTCAGAAGCCATCATTTGTGAAAAAGCAATGCTATTGCATGAAGACTTTTATAGGAAACCCCTGGAACAAGTGATGCAGATACGAAAGAGTTTAAGGCAGGCATGGGATGGTTTAAGAAATTTAGAAAAAGAAGTAGCATTCACAGTGTTGTGAGAATTGTGAGTGTTGTGTTATGAGTTGGTAGAGGAACACAGCGAAGAACTGACTACCGAAGAACTAGCCTTTCACAAGGAGCAAATTTGTTTCGGGTTGCAAATTTTCGGCTTACAAACCGTCTCTGGGAATAGATTAAATTCGTAAACGGAGGAGCCATTGTATACACAAAAGACTGAGAATTACATACAATTCCCAGTGACCACTGGGACCTGAAAATAAATACTGTACATTATATCATTCCTACACATAACTATAACATATACAGTACAATAACACCACAAATACAACAGCTAAATCACTGCACTTGGCTACCACGTGTGGGGCAACCACATTATATCTGTCCATCACTCCATTCCAAGTAATCGAGCGGCTGCACATGTTTTCCGTCCCCTAAGCGTTAAAATAATTTTCTGGTTTCACATATAATTTCTTTTTATTTAACACTTGTATTTTCCTAATGTTTTCCAATCACAGAATGTAATTGTAATTGTTTCTTTCTTATATACTGGAACTCAATTATGCCCTTTTTGAAGGAACAATTCTACCAGGTAAAATTCACTGCCGCACATGGGCAGAGGTGGCTGCTGAGCTGGCTGGAGTTTTAAAAATGTACTTCTTCAATGCAAACATTATTTGGCAAACGTCATTACAAATGTCCCTTCCTTACAATAAACAGGTGAACAGTGCAAGGACTGAATGAAAGCGGTTTATTAAGTGGTGATGAATGATTGAAAGTTTGTTTTTCGTATACTGTAGTTTAAATGAGTATTATATACCTATAAATGGCAGTACATAGCTGAAATGGGGTATAGTCAAAATATACACAGGACAATTTGACAGTTTGTTATCTGTTAAAACCGTATACACTTACTGTATATTAATAGTTTAGGGTGTGTTAGGCTCAATTGGGTTAACACTTTTGCGCACCGGGCGTGTGCTCCGCACATATGCACGAACTACTCATGGCGGTGCGGGCGAGCGATCGACGACACTAAATGTGCATACTCGTTTCAGTTTTCTCACTTTAATTCTCATGCTACGTCGTTCGTTTTGGCATCGTTGTGTTCGCAATAGAATTCCCTACAGGTATATATGCATATAAGATCCAAAAGCCAAGCGTGACTCCCCACAGCAAAGCCTAAAGTAATGTGTACTAGTTTCAGTTTTCTAACCTTAATTCTCGTGCTACGTTGTTCGTTTTGGTATCATTGTGTTCGCTATTAAATTCCCCGCAGGTGTTGTATATGCATATATTGTCCAAAAGCCCAGCGTGACTCCCTTTAGCAAAGCCTAAAGTTACCCGTGAACGAGCACCAATTTGCACATCCGCAGCCAAATGTGTATACTCGTTCAGTTTGATAACATCAATTTTTGTTACTCTTTCATTTTGGTATCAAATTGTTCGCAATAAAAAGAGGCGTATTTTAAAACTAGTCGCATAATAATAGAGCAATAAATGGAATTTTAACAAAATTTTAATTTTGGACGCTCATCATCACACAATTATTTATCTTTCCGGTGTTCTGACATAATTTTCGTGTTACATCTTTCATTTTGGTATCAAATTGTTCACAATGTAAAGGCATGCATTTTAAAACTAGTCCCATAATAATAGCACAATAAATAGAATTTTAACATTTTAAAATTTTGACCAAAAAGTATTTATAATCTTTCAAGTGTTCTGACATCAAGTTTCGTGTTACATCTTTCATTTTGGTATCAAATTGTGCGCACTCTAAAGGTGCTCATTTTGAAACTATCCCGAAGTCAATTGGATAATAAATTAATTTTATACAAATTTTTTTTATCAGACGCACATCATGTCCGATGCTCGGACTCGGAGAAAAAAAATCAAACGCAAGTTGCGTTTGAACAGTGCTATAGTGTTAACTTGTTTCATCCAAGTACACATTTTACTGTTGCGTTAAACAGAGGCTACAGTTAAGGAATTGCGCCCAGTAAATCCTCCCCGGCCAGGATACGAACCCATGACATAGCGCTCGTGACATGTGACTTGCATCTGCTGAATTACAGGTGAATATGTGTAGTATGTGGTAGAGTTAGTGCCTCATGATGCTGCCGAGATTTGAAGCTTCTGGGAAAAATTAGTTGCATGTAGTATGTCTTGAACTTTTGTGCAATGATACCATGCTTATCCTTATTCTTTGAAGAGCTGCATAACCCCTATGACGGGGGATTATGGTTGTGGTCTATGTTGATCATCAATGGGTTTACTCTTAAAATAAATATTCATAATTTTCAGATTCATTTAAAAATTTTCTTTAAAAACCTTACTACAGGGTTTTCCCTATTGAATATTACCTATAGAAGAAACTAGCAGTAAGAGACCACATAATAGAGCGGAGGCAACTGGGTATTATCACAGAAGGTACGAAGGGCAAAACAGAGACATTTTGGTAACGTTTACCTGGGTTTGTCAGTTTGTTCTGGGACACGTGGAACTGTCTAATATTTTGTTGTTGCTTACCTTTAGGGCTCGGTCACCATTCAGTACAACAAGCTTCACGCTGACCCAAAGCAAGGAAAGACCCTGGACATTGCCATGAAGAAAGTCAAGCATCGATTGGTTGAGAATCTCTCTTCTTCAACAGCCGATGCCCTAGGCTTGTCGCGTGCTATTTTGTGCAACGACTCTTTGGTCAAGAAGTTGGATGATTTACAGAGGACTGAAGACATGTATCAGGCTCTCATGGACCATACTAAAAGACTCCTGAAAGCATTCTTTGATTTAGCTCTTGTTTATAGAAGTAAGTAGAGCAAAAAAATAATAAAAATACCATATAATAATTTTTATTTATAAAATATATGAATGTTACTGGAATTAATTAGTAATTGTGCTACTGTATATAAAGCCACTAATACGCAAAGTGTTTTGAAATTTTTTACGCCGTAGTAAAATATGAGTCATGGATGTGTAGTAAAAATGACTAAAAATTGCTACAATACAAGTTGGGTTGTATTGTAAACGTTGAGTCATATTGTAAAGGTTTAAAAATTTTGGGCACATGGAAAAAAAGTACAGTATTGTAAAAGTGAATGTTACGTCATATGTTGGTTTCTGTAAGGTTATGTCCAATGTGTTTAAAAGAGTTGCACTTTCTATTCAGGTTAGGAGCAGCAATTTTAGTGGATCATTTAATTCTTAAATGCCTATTCATTAATACAACTTGTTTCCAGAGTTTGGAGATATCTTTTGTGAAATTGGTGTTCGTGAGCTTCAGCAGAGTGCCAATGAAGCATTTAACCAGTTTGGGGAAGCTCACCGCCAGATGGAAAAGTATGGTATTCAGATGTTGAAGAGACTCAAACCAGTAAGTGGATTTGAAGCAATATTTTATATTATACTAATAGATACACTAGATATAGAGGTGACAGCATAGGAGATAATGAAACGGCTAACAACACTAATATTAACAGAATACTGTATTAACACTTGCAAGTACAGCAGTTAATATTCTTGTTTTAAATCAAGGCAAGAATTTATTGAATAAATAAAACAATATTAAAGTTTAAAGATGCAGATAAAATGATAAGGTTGATATTGAGTGCTAATACACACAATACTGTGTTACTTTTTTTTTTTAAGATCTTGAGTGACTTGGGAACATACCTTCACAAAGCCATTCCTGACACAAGACTGACCATCAAACGATATGCTGATACAAAGTTTGAGTACCTGAGCTACTGCTTGAAGGTAAAGGAGATGGATGACGAGGAGATGCAGTTTGCCCAGTTGCAAGAGCCGCTCTATAGAGTAGAGACTGGCAACTACGAGTACAGGCAAGTGGTCATCAGGAGCAACAGGCCAATTATTTAAATTGGTAGTGCGTATGCCTGAAAGAGTTCAGAGACACAGGTATGACCCCAAAGAGTATACAGTGGTACCTCGGAATGCGATTGTCCCTGTATGCGAGGTTTTCGGAAGGCGAGCAGTATTTACTCCAAAAATTTGTCTCAGAAGGCGAGGGTTACTTCGGGACGCGAGTTTGTTGATACGCGTACAGGCCGACCTAGCGCGTGGTGGTTCGGCGATCGTCGCCCCTCCGCCCCGCCGCCCCTCAGTTTACCATTGTCTCGCGCTCAGTGACTACCCCCACATCAATTCTTCTCGCGGATTTTCAGTGTTTTGTTGGATTTTTGGTGATTTGTCTATACAATTTGTTATTATATATCTCACCATGGGTCCCAAGAAAGCCAGTGGTAAGGATAAAGGCCAGAAAGCTCATGTGAGGATGACAATAGAGGAGAAACAAGAGATCATTCGGAAGCATGAGAACGGTACACGTGTTGTTGAACTTTGTAGGCAGTACAACAAAGCCACATCAACAATATGCACTATACTTAAGAAGAAAAATAAGATTATGGGTGCTAAAGTGGCAAAAGGAGTAAGAACATTAACGGCACAAAGACCACAAATACTTGAAGAAGTGGAAAAGTTGTTATTAATTTGGATACACGACAAGGAGTTGAGGGGTGATAGTGTTTCGGAGGCCATTATTTGTGAGAAAGCCAGGGTGTTGCACGAAGACCTTCTAAAGAATACCCCTGCAACGAGTGATGCAGATAAGAAAGAGTTTAAGGCAAGCAGGGGCTGGTTTGAAAAATTTAGAAAGAGAAGTGGTATCCATAGTGTTACAAGGCATGGGGTTATGTGATGTGATTATGGAAGGGGACTCCCCTTCCAAACAGTAACTCCTCTCCTCCTCCCCCCTCCTCACCATCTTCCATACGCCTACAGCACTCGACAGCAAGGTAAGTAATAACTGGAACACAGTTTTGTAGGTTTATTTAGATGAATTAGGTAAATTAGGTATAAAAATTTAGTTTGATGTGGGGTTTTTGGGGTAGTCAGGAACGGATTAATTCATTTCCCTTTATTTCTTATGGGGAAATTAACTTCGGAATGCGAGTTTTCGGAAGGCGAGGCGTCTCCAGGAACGGATTAAACTCGTATTCTGAGGTATGCCTGTATTATAGGGTGGGGAATTCTGGCAAAAAATAGGCGCTGACTCAGCGTGTGTCCCAGGCGGTCTGTTGATCGCCAGCTGTCAGGCCGGAGTTGCCACAAAGAGATAATTACCTAATTATTTCAATGTCTCTGATTGATTTTTCGTAGTTTTTTGCTGTAATATTATTCAATAATGTGTAGTGTGATATATTTTTTATAATAAACTGAGTGAATCATCGTTGTACTCAAAAATATGGTATGCATATTGTTGATTCAATTATGTTCATCAAACAGTGAACAAATACTTTGTCGGTTATTATACTATATACACAGGTTATATATAAGTATTTGCATGTTTCGTTCACCATAACTGTACATCAAAGCTTGTATGGTGAGTAAAGGCACAAAGACGTAGGACCTCGCACAGTCAGCTGATGGCTGCCGCCCTCAAAGCCAGACGCACTATTATTTCTCCTACAACAATACTGTTTGTGGTGCTATTACGCTATATACACACATTATATATAAGTATCTACCTGTTTTATTCACCATACTTGTACAAGTAAACTGGTATGGTGCCCAAAGACCATCGTGGTCATCAGAAAACAACATGGTAAGTCCTGCAGACGACGCTCCACCCTCACCAAAATGGCGGCTCCCAACCTTCTCCTCTTGCTGTTTATACCTTCTATACACACGTTATATATAAGTATCTACATTTGTGTTCACCATAGCGAACCACTAAGCTGGTATGGTGAGTGCAGTCAATAAAAGGTGGCCACAGACAGTCAGAAGACATCGCCACCACCCTCCCTCCCACAGCATTATGGTTTGATGTAAAATGATTTGCAGACCATGTTCTGGAAAAAATTTGGTACACCTTAGTTTTTCATAGACAGGAAGTCTCTTAGGTTTATTGACATTACCCGAGGCCAACTGCTGATCTTTCCCGAGATGCAACCCACAACTGTTTAGGTGAGAAGGTGGTGGAGGCCAAGATCGTCAGTAGTTTCAAAGCGTTATATGACAAAGAGTGCTGGGAAGACGGGACACCACGAGCGTAGCTCTCATCCTGTAACTACACTTAGGTAATTACTAACTCTGGAGGTACCTATTTATTGCTGGATGTACAGTGTAAATGATGTAAGTGTAGTTAGAGGATGAGAGCTACGCTCGTGGTGATATGTATTCCTAGTACACTTTGTCATATAAAACTTTTAAACTACAGTACTGATGGTTTTACCCTCCGCCACCACCTCACTTAACTTGTTCCAACCATCTACCACTCTGCAAAAGAGAACTTTCTAATGTTTTTTCAGCAACTTTGTTTCCTTAGCTTCAATCTTGGATCTCTCGCTCTTGAAGATGCGGGTTTCAGGAATTCATTTGTCAATTCCTGTTATTATTTTGAATGTATCAATCGTATCACCTCAGTTTCTTCTATCTTCTAGCTCTGGTATATTTAATGCCTTTAGCCTCTCCTTATGGCCCTTGTTTTTCCATTTTGGAAGCCATTAATTACATGACTTTGCACCTTTACCAATTTATTAATGTGCTTCTTGAGATATGGACACCATACAACTGTTGCATATTCCAATTTTGGTCTCACTAAGGTCGTGAACAATTTCTCTAATAATTCACCATCCATATATTTAAAAGCAATTCTGAAGTGCGAATGCATAGCATAGGCTCCTTGCACAATGTTCTTTATGGGGTCCTCAGGCGACAGTTTTCTTTCCAGGACTATCCAAATACTTTTTCAATATCATAGTTCTTTAAAACCTTTTCACATAATTTGTATGTTGTGTGTGGCCTATTTTCTCCTTTTCAATATTCCATAATGTGGTATTTATTCAATTAAATTCCATCAGCCAAGTGTTTGTCCATATGTTTAATATGTCCAGGTCATCTTGAAGAGCATTACAATTGTCTAAGTTTCATATATTCCCTAGTATCATCAGCAAAAATGTTTGTATAATTCTGTATTTCTTCTGATAGATCCTGGCATCCAGTGAAAGGAAACGTCTGTCTCTTTCGAAGCTAAACTCAGGACTTATATCCTGTGCCAGTTCTGAGACATAAACACTAAAATAAAAAAAAAATTAATTCTTGGTGGAGCAATAACTCCTGTAAATTTACTTACAGACTAATCTTACGTTGTCGTCAAGAAGCTCGAGCGAAGTTTGCCAAACTGCGATCAGATGTTTTAGTGAAACTGGAACTGCTCGATTCTAAACATGTCCAGCATTTGACAGAACAGTTGACACGACTGATTGGAGGACTTGCAACCTATCACTGCCAGTGTCAGGAATTAATGCATGACAAGAATTGGTTCCCCATCGAGCTGGACATGGTGGGAACTACTCTGCATTCAGATCACAGAAATGATGACTATCAGGTAATCTTGCCTAGTAAGGGATACCAGTAATATACATATAGGCTAGAGTCTAAAGAGCATGAAAGAATGCAAGGTTTGTTGTGATAGAGTCTCTTGACAAAATGTCTGATGATGGGAACCTTCTAATGGGAACAGTTCGTTTGTTTACTGTCTATAGGCTGTTTGAATCAATGATATGACTTTTCAAAATCATGCAGATAATTTATGGACATCCTGTATGTAAATAGTTTAAATGTACCTGAACTATTGTTTATAATATAGTTGCTGAACAATATTATAAACAATATAGTTCAGCAGTTCCCTAACCTTACACACATAATACTTATTTTTATATTGCAATTATTATAGTTAGTATTTTTTTTGTAGACTGGAGATTACGAGGATGATGAAGAATTGCTTGACACTGATGGAGCTGCAGAAGTATCAGAAACAACTGATTTGGTCCAGCCCATGGAGGATCTGACCCTTGACTGTGTTAATGATAAACCACAGCCAAAGGCAAAGGAAGGGAATTTTGAAGAAGTTAACCTCCTTGGAGATTTTTAAAATTGTGTAGATTTGCAATGGAACTTGGATGTATCTGAATATTTTTTCTTCTGAATTTTAATTTTTTTAATGGCCTTTTTGTAAATCTTATTTTATACTTCAATATTTTTTGTTGAAAAATCATATATTTATGAATGACTTTTATTATACCTTTAATTACTTTTGTAATGTATAATATTGGTTATTAAGGCTTATTTTATCAAAGAAAACAGCATGTGCAGTTGTATTTTACTTTAATTTAGAAATGCAATGATGTTAATAAAATTGGTAGAACTATTTGTCGCACTCCGACCTTCCTACGGCCAGTTCTTACCGGTAACTTGGTAGTACTTCAATTATTTCAGAAATTGCTGACATCATTATTTGTAGTAGAGTAATGGTGAATCATCATCATTATGAACATTAATGTAATGTTGAATGGACATCCTTTGCCCAAATTTGCCCAGTGAAATAAGAACATGGAAGTGTGAGTTCTAAACCCCCATCCTGATTCCACCTACAGTATAGTTTTAATGAATTTTGCACAATTATTTTGTAATCTCCATGTAACTTGCACTATGGGTCGGGAAAAACTCATATACTCTACATCATGATTCAGTGTAATAATTAATATAGTTTGGTGCAAGTTTATAGTAATTGATATTATTTCAACTAGAATTTTGCTCATTTTCAAGTTATATTTTTAAGGAAGTTCAAGTGCTAGTCATATTACAGTATTTGGCCTATACAGTGGAACCTCGGTTCAACAAGCTACCAGGTGCTAGGCTTGATTCATTGGAGAGGTTCGTTGTAGTCGGAGATGCCTTCATTTGTGTAGTTGAATTTTTAAATTATTTACTTGTATATTTATAGAACACAAGAAAAATACTGTATATTGCTATTTTAAAAATATATAATATTGCTCCTCAACAAGGTACTGAATGATATTTTAATTTGCATTAATAAAGGCATATGTCTTACTTGAATCATCTAAAGTTGCCATTTGTAATGATTAACGTTCCCTACTGTGTGACTTAGGGTTGGTAAAAAACTTGGGGTTTTTATCTATCAATTAAATGGTAAAAATGTTAATTTAAATACAAATAACTAAGTTGGCCCATATTAAAGCCAAAAAAAAAAAAGTTTTTCTTTAAACCCGCCTTGAATTTTTGAACCGAAAAACCCAGTACAGGTGAGTAAGTGGGTACCTGGATTGTACCTGGATGGGATTCTGGGAGTTGTTCTACTTCCCAAGTCTGACTGGGGCCAGGCTTGACCTGTAGTAACTTGATCTAACTGGCTGTTGCTTGGAGTGGCCCGCAGGCACACATATCCACTACACCCTGGTTGGTCCAGCAGTTCTTCCAGAAAACTGTCCAGTGTTTTCTTGAAGTCTTCCAATTCTTGTTCTGGCAATATTTTTTATACTTTAAGGATATTGAGCAACTGTGGACCTCTGATGTTCAGCGTTCTCTGATTGTGGCTGTAGCACATTGTTACCACCCTAGATCCTCTGACAGTTAAGAATGATTTTGTGAATACTAGTATAATGTACATGATTATGTGTAGAGTGATAGATTAAGTATTGCCAAATGTATAAGGATATTACTTTTTTTTTTTTTTTTTTTTTTTTTTTTTTTTTTTTTTTTTTTTTTTTTTTTTAGCTAATTTTTAGACACTATTAAGTATATGTGATTAAGAGTATATAAAGCTTGAAGGTTACATTAATATTGAAGGGAAAGGTGGCTATAGAAAGTGTTTTAAGCTACAAATGCAGTACGACAGATGGACCAATCCGGTGCCAGAGTGGTGTGGGTGGAGCAGAGAGAGAGAGACTTGAATGTAAGTGGCTGGGACAGTCGCAGCAGTGTCGGGGAATGTGTATGTGTAAGTACCCTTCTCTCTCTTATTTGGGCCACCAATCTTGCATGTATTATTATATGTTGTGCAACACTGGCTGGGTGTATGAACATGTATATAGCAGCTAAGCATTTCAACCAGTGAGGATTTACTGTGGGGGTGGGGAGAGTTCAAGTGTTATGTCTCCATCAGAGATGCTGTAGTGCTTGCCTCTGTACATCCTTACTCTTGTCTTCAAGGGAAAGATATAAGGTATCTTATATGGTAGAATCGAAGGTAGAGACCATACGACAAGTACTGTCCCTAAATTAAGCAACTTACGTATGTGGAGAACTAGTGTCATAATTGATATGCTTGTCCTGCACACCCCCATCCCCTCCCCCCCATTCAGTAGGCAGCAGTGGAAAGGTTAGTCATCCACAGTTATTACCTACAGTTAGCAAACTGGGGATATTTGGCTAAGTTTCTGTTAGTAGATCATTTTGCATGAAATATTTACACATTTGTTGACCAGACCACACACTAGAAAGTGAAGGGACGACGACGTTTCGGTCCGTCCTGGACCATTCTCAAGTCGATTATGAGAATGGTCCAGGATGGACCGAACAATCGACTTGAGAATGGTCCAGGATGGACCGAAATGTTGTCGTCCCTTCTCTTTCTAGTGTGTGGTCTGGTCAACATACTTTAGCCACGTTATTGTGACTCATCGCCTGTATTTACACATTCTTGTACATTTGTTATAGAGTTGTCTCCTAAGTTCACATATCTTTTCACACACTATCACATAGTGACGGAGGGTGTGTTGACAGTTTATATTTGGTCAGGGCTACATCAGCAGATAATGAAAATTCCCAGAGATATTTAATGCCAAATCAAAGCCAAGCAATAGTAACATCTAGGAGTCTGTTGATTTTATTGGATGATCCATAGATGTGAGGCTCTTCTTGTATGATAATATGATGATAAATGGAATTACTGGTGTCAATTTGACTTTGCCTCAAATCTACAAGGTTTTGCTGACGTTCATGGTGTATTATTACTCTCAGACGGCTAATATGCAATCCAAGATTATAATCAACTCCTTTGAAGGCTGATTTTTTGGCTGAGATACGTCTAAGTTAAGAAGCAGAATTATGTTAGGCTAGATTATGTATGTTTTTTATTGTTGATGGTAATATTTTCTTATACAATGAGAGTATTCTGAATATCAATTCCTTACAGTCACCTTCAATTTATTTAAGGGTTAAATTTCCTTAATTTCAGTTAAGAGTCCTGGTAATACAGTCGGGTTCGTTCTTGATGCACAATTGAAAATTTTGGGTTCGAATCCCAGGCGGGACGGAAATGGTTGGGCACATTTCCTTTCACCTAATACCTCTGTTTTCCTAGCAGTAAGTATATACTCAGGAGTTAGTCAGCTTGTTGTAAAGTTGCATCCTGGGGGAGGGTCACTAATTCGACCTTAGGGAGGGTTGACCTCGATACAAGCCTATGAAGTATGAATATATACAGTACAGTACTTCATAGGTTCATTCATACAGAGTGTATGAATACACTCTGGCTTCCTGTCCCCTGACACAATGAATAATGAATTATTATTATTATTATTACTGTATTATTATTATTATTTTACCTACCAATAACTCTGTAGGAAAATATTTTAATTATCCCCCTCTTATTTTTTAAACCAGAGTTCCAATTGCTGAATTACTTGGTGCCCTCTTGTTTCTTGTATGTTGTGATCATATCTCCACTGTTAATTCTGACCTCTAGGATTGCGTGATTTAGTCTCATTAGCCTATTCTCGTAGCTTAACCCTCTTAGCTCTGGCATCAATCTATTTGTAAATCTTTGTAATTTTTCAGTCTTGGTTTTGCATATTCCATATGCATATTCCAGTATTGGTCTAGCATGTGTGTAGAGTGCCTAGGAATCTTAATTTAGGTTCTAAATGACGTTCTTACACTTGCCAGTGTCTCATATGCTGCCGATGTTATCTTGTTTGCGTGTGCTTCTGGTGTTAGTGTTGGAATTATATCCACTTACAAACCTTTCTCGCTTTCCGATTCTTGTACTGTAGTTACCTTTCCCTTATGGTGTAGATGCCTTCTGATCTCCTCTCTCCTTTTTCTCATCTTCTTTACCTTAGACTTGCTGGGATTGAATTCTAGCGACTATTTGTTTTGACACCTTTAGTTTAACAATCTTTAGTTTATCAAGATTCTCTAATAATTTTCAGCAGTCCTATATTTTTACATTTCTCATCAGCTTTACGTAATCGGCAAACATTGGCATGTATGATATCACTCCCTCTCGGGTAGGTCGTTTACATAAATTAAGAACAGCAGTGGTCCCAGGACAGAGCCTAGTGAGACCCCACTTATTACATTCCTCCAGCTTGAAACAACTTGAAACAGCTTGGAGGGAGGGTGGCAGCTGGTGTGGGGGGAGAGTGGCAGCTGGTGTGGGAGGGAGGGTGGCAGCTGGTGTGGGAGGGAGGGTGCCAGCTGGTGTAGGAGGGAGGGTGCCAGCTGGTGTAGGAGGGAGGGTGCCAGCTGGTGTAGGAGGGAGGGTGGCAGCTGGTGTGGGAGAGAGGGAGGGAGGGAGACCGATTACTCCACCAAAGGTGAGGCAAGTGGCTTTCCTAAATTCTGAAATATTTACAATCTCGGTCTCATAACATTGATTGTTGAATGTCATAAAGTGCATGTTTAAGACTCAAGAAGCACAACCAGCAGCAGCGTGAGGGAGCCTTATACCTACATCATTTACATACATTATATTCACTTCTCGACATGATGCATGGAATATCTCCTTGTATATACAGTATGCTCCAACTTACCATACGCGTCCTTGGCTGTGTCATTTCGTGTCCTTGGCTGCAACACAACACATCCCTGGCGGCGAGGAAGCACTACCTGACCCACCACCGAGATCCACACACAGTTAAGCTGAGCGGATCATTCTCCAGCTGGCCTCCACCAGGGTGAGAGCTACTCCTGCCTCCTGCTCGACCCCTTCTCCCCCTTCCCTGGTGTTCCGTGTATATATGTGCGTCTGTCTGTTGGCCAGACCACACACTAGAAGGTGAAGGGACGACGACGTTTCGGTCCATCCTGGACCATTCTCAAGTCGATTGTGAAAATGGTCAAACAAACAATCGACTTGAGAATGGTCCAGGACGGACCGAAACATCGTCGTCCCTTCACCTTCTAGTGTGTGGTCTGGTCAACATTCTTCAGCCACGTTATTGTGACTCATTGCCTGCGCATTCCACATGATGATAACC